ACAATTTTCATTCTATGAAGTTCTCTTATAATCAGTCCATTGCTGAGAAGCCATTACTCTGTACTTGGTTGTTAGATATATTCTAAAACAGGGGTCGGCAACCTTTCACAAGTGCTGTGCCGAGTCTTCATTTAGTCACTCTGATTTCAGGTTTCGCGTGCCACTAATACATTTTAACGTTTTTAGAAGGTCTCTTTCTATAAGTCTATAACATATAACTAAACTATTGTTGTATGTAAAGTAAATAAGGTTTTTAAAATGTTTAAGAAGCTTCATTTAAAATTAAATTAAAATGCAGAGCCCCCCCGGACCAGTGGCCAAGACCCGGGCAGTGTGAGTGCCACTGAAAATCAGCTTGCGTGCCGCCCTTGGCACACGTGCCATAGGTTGCCTACCCCTGTTCTAAAATATACTGAGGATTATTAAATATCTGCAAATTCATTAATATGTGATAAGAAGAAATGACTGATTAGTAACTACCTCTTTTGTAGTGAAAATTGACCTTGCTGGCCAGTACGAAAATCTCCACCAAGAATCTCCCATCCCTTCAAATGATGTCAAATTCTTGCTGACTTAGCCTATGTCTGCGCTGCTAGCTAAGGGTGTGATTCCCAGCCTGCAGGGACATAAGTGTGCTAGCTCTCCTCTGAGCTAGCCTGCTAAAACAGTAGTGTAGCCATGGTAGCGTGGGCAGCAGCATTGGTGACACAGGCTAACTCCCTTGAGTACATACCTATGGGATTCAGGTGGGTTTGTACTCAGAGCGGCTAGCTGTGCTCCCACTGCAGCTGTCCGTGCTTCCCGCAGGTACACCACTATTTTTAGCATCCTAGCTCAGATGAACACTAGCACAAGTATGTCTACGTGAACTGGGAATCACACCCCTTGCGCGTAGTGTAGACGTATCCATTTACACTCCGACTAAGTATTGCATTTGTTATTTAATTACCATTTCCTCAAACTTGTCAAAATTATTCCACTTTTAAATAAAACATTTTCTATTTCAAAACACAAATTTAAAAGAGGAGTAAAATATTTTTCGGTTCATTACATTAACAAGCTAACAAAACATCAGCAGAGATTGTCCTATACATCTGTTGTTATGGTGAATATTTGCTATTAAAATAGATGGTAATCTGACAGGCCTTCTGAGAGTCAATGAAGGAAACATATAGAAAAATTGGTGTTTGACTGTTTCCTGTTTTCTGAAAGGATATTATAATGAAGAGCAATGAATAATAAAATGCTTTGGTTATTGAAAATGAATTGCAGTGTGCTGTCTTCTTTCGAAGAACCATTGTATAAGTAGCAAATGAAACCTGTCTTTGCTAACAAAGAGTATGTACAGGTGTCACTGGGTCCAGTCGTAGTAGATGCTACATGGCAGTTGGTTTATGTGGGGTGATTGGCTATCCCGCATAATGATATATAGACTGCAAATGGAAATCACACTGCTGTCTCTTCCAGCTGCGTTATGTTGCAGGAACAACTTATAATTTTAGTATGTAATCAAACAAGTCGAAGTAGCTATATATACAAACTCCAATTAAAGGGGCCCATCTGTGACTTCCTAACTGACAAGCACAAAATTTCTGGGTCACAGCATTCAGACCCACTCCAGACACAAATACCCTCCTCAAGGAAAAAGTCTTATGCATTTATTAAGGCTAAAACCAAAGGGTTCTATGTCAGTCACTCTATAAACCTACAGAATCTAGTATAAAATTACATACTTCATAGAGAATTAAAAGATCATCCTATAGCACTTAATAGTGGATTCTCTGCATTTCTGTTACAGAATTCTATAACTTGGGTTAAAAATTCTGTACAAAGGTTATCATTACATTCAATAAGATTGCTTGTTTTTATAAGCATAGGAAAGGCAGGTCCACTTCCTCTCTTTCTTCTCTCCGCATCAGTACATTGGCTATTTATTTATTGCATTGACTAGCCTTCACTCTGGAGACCTAGATTCAAATCTTGATTGAGTATGACAAATGAGAATGAATTTGTGGTTTCACCTTCACCCAGGACTGAACCACCACTCAAGGCAAAGAGGTACAGTTCATGCTCTCTGCTCAAGGAACACCAATTCTGGAAAAGCAGACTGGTTATAGGTCAATTGTTCAGATACAATTATGTGAAGAAGTTGCCTGCCTACCTGTGCTTTAAGTCATACAAAATATATGAAAACAACTTTTTTCGCCCATTCACTACTCTTATTTTACCTAACATTTGTGTGTGTTTGCGTGTGTGTTTGGGGGAGGGGGTGGGGTTTCTTTCATGCTATTTGATCAAGCCTGTGGCAGCATTTCTCAATCCATATTCTACAATACTAACACCAGATCTCTATTCTACTCATCTCCAATAAATAAGGTAAGTTGGCTATTTTGGAGAACCTTGCCAACCCTATTGACTGGGTATTTTGGTCTCAAATCTCCCTCTAACAAGGATTCCCTTACATCATTGTGCTACCAGCATCGCTTACTCAGAAATCTGTCTTATTCCCAGTCATGAATCTTTATGTTGACAGAACCTTTGGTATTGTTTCTACAACCAAATGAGTAAATGTTTTTGTATATATTGTCTCCATATAACAATTATATTTTATCATCTTCCTCTACATTCCCTCCCACATATGCACTTTTGTTCTTTCCAAAAGCAAATCTTAGGGGGATACATTCTCCTCTCCGTGTGTGGGAGTTGCATGTGCATACCCTTGTGCACCAGGTGAGAAGGATGAATGCATTTTCTGAACTGGCCAAACTACTTATAGTTTTTCTTTGTGAAATTAAATGATCAGTGGTAGTAATTATGAAAGTATCTGAAAACATCAAACAATAAAAATGTACTCAATAGAAGCAATCAGTGCAAGAACCAACTGCATTTCAGAAAGCAACAGCATTCTCCTATACTGGAGGCTGCAGATACTTGCTATTATATTTCCAAAGCTGTGGTAATGTTCTAAAATTCAGAATAATCCTTTTCTCTACTCATTTTCAAGCACCTAAAAAAATCAATAAAAATACTCTGCAAGTCTGAGTCTCAGTGTTCAAGGAACATCTCTACCTGTTATCATGAAACTGACCCCAAAAGCCTACCCCTTCCTGGCACAATACCCATGCTTACATACCAATAACTGTCCTTATTTTCATGCATCTTATTCATTTTGGGTAGGATAGAAAGATCATGTTACCACATTTTCTAACAGCCTGTCTTGAAAACTAGTAAGCTAGTTCATTAGCATTGAATGCTGGGATTACTTCACTTTTGGTGACAGTAAATATATTATGTAGTAGATGGCTCTACTGTTCCAGGGAGAACTGTGTACATTTATACTATAATACAAATGTTTAATAATAATAATTTGTTAACTGGTAGAATTTCTGCTTTGGACCATGTAACTACGCACCTCAGAAACCCCCTTTTAATATGCATTTTACCGTTAGCCAGTACCTTGTTTCTGTCCTTTTGGAAAATGGTGTTGCCACACAAATCAAGTCTTTTTGGAAGTTTCCGTTAACAGATAAACAAGTTTCCCATGCCAGGGCCAATTAAAGCTAGTGAAAAATACAGTGGGCCACATTTTCTACTTAACGGAAATGGACACAGCTCCTTCAGCGGAGTTGGGTTCACTTATGCCAACAGAAATTTGCCTCAGTCTGTCACTTAGATATGTATGAAAAATACCGGAGTTTGTTATTTGGATCCTGATCCCAAATGATTAATGTAGTTACATAGCCTGAGCTCTCAAAATACTTGTAAGCATTTCATTTTGATTTATGTCACTACTCTTGCATGTAAGTTCTCTATTTAACTATAAAGTAGTTTTAAAGATGAAGCCATGTTTAATTTACACTTCAATTCATGCCCCTGTTACTAAGAGTGAATGTTTTATCAATGATCCAGACCCTTTTGGCTTATCTTCGACCTAAGCAATCCCCAGGTACCTCCTTCATGATATTTCCAGTTGTTATGCATCTTTATTGTTATCTGTTGCAAGTTTAGGGGGAGGGATAGCTCAGTGGTTTGAGCACTGGCCTGCTAAATCCAGGGCTGAGAGCTCAATCCTTGAGGGGGCCACTTAGGAAGCTGGGGCAAAATCAGTACTTGATCCTGCTAATGAAGGCAGTGGGCTGGACTCAATGACCTTTCAGGGTCCCTTCCAGCTCTATGAGATAGGTATATCTCCATATATTATTATATTATCCATGTTCTTAAAAGTAGGCCAACACTGCAAGTTGGTTTCATGCATGGTCTCAGTTTTCTTTTTTGTATAGCAAGTATATATTTAGCTTGATACAGATGAACTCTGCTGTGCTCTGAAAGAAATATTTATCACAGCAGAGGGCAGATCCTCACAATATACTGGAGCCACAAATACCTGCACTAGGGATAATGTTCTAGTCTCATATTGTCATATACTGTCAGGTAGTGCATTAAAGGATTTCAACAAATGAATCTGTTGCAGAAGTGTCTGGCTTACCCCAAGTGTTATTAAACTTGCCATAGGTCAGGCATTTTGCAGAATTTACTAGAGCACATATTCTTTTATTTTTACACTAGACAAATAAGCAGATTAAAAAATAAATACAAGCTCACAAATAAAATGGCAATGTGCATCTATTTCACAGTTACCATTACATCTAGTGACAAAATGTTATTTAAGTGAGTAAAATGTAAGATAGCAAGAGATTTTGTGAATATGACTGATAACTGAAATTACTGCATATAGCCTTTGAATACACATTGTGTAAAAAAACCCTACTTTCTTGAAATAAAAGGGGTGCTGTGAGGAGTGGAGGAAGTGACTGTATTTATAGCAGCAGTTTATGGGTTATGTATTTAAGATTCTATAAACATTACAGATTAAAGCTAGTACCAATCAGGATTCAAAGAATAGTCTATAGTTTTAGCTTAGAAAGTACTATTCTGTAGACTGAATAATCATGTTAAACAAGTAACAGAATTAGTGACCCATCATGGCACCTTTGACTTACCTCAATAAAGAAGAGACTAGCTGCTGACGTTGGATGATGGTACATATAGACTGTTACAAGGATGGCTGCTGCTACAATGAGGACCAATATCAGAATTCCAACAATTAAACCAGCATGGAGAGTTCCACCTTTCTTCTCTGCAGCGCTATCATCTGTAGAGGCTACAAGCATGGAATACTTATTAGCATGGCAACTGTTTTGAGATTAAGAGAGATTATTTCTTCTTGTCTACAATAAATTATTAAAATGACAATTGAACATTTGTTTTCTCTGTCCTACATTTTCCTAATATTCTCATTAGCCCAAGTTGCAGAAAGAAATTACATCTTCCTATCCCCCATATGCGTACTCATATAATGTTAATGAAATGACATTTCCAAATGTTTTATTATTTCTAGCTCAATAAACAAAATTAATATCCTTCTTTCTGAAAGTAATTTGGACATTCTAAAGTTCCTAATTATCTACATAATGAATTTACATAAGAACAAAATTTGACTTTGATTTTCCCAAAAAACTATCACAGATGTCCTACAGACATCAAATATTAATTGAATACATTTTGAAATATGTATTTTGTCATTTTTTTTTGCAAGCTTCAATTTGAGAGATGTCACAGTTCCCGGTGAGGGGTAGCTAATAAACACATTCTGAAAGCCTGATTCATTAGCTTGGAGAATGATTTCCCAAAGTCCTGTGCAACTGAATCACATTGCAAAAGTGTAACAAATGAATGTTAAATGACCCTCAAATATTTTAATCTTAGTATGAAGGGAGTACAAATATTACTGAAGTTGATCATTTTGTTAAACTTTATACCGATAGGTCTCTTGTTGTATTATACATTTGCCTTGGGGAAAGAAGACATACCAGAGTATATATCCCCTAAAGCAAATAACACCACTACTCCCAGATAAATCAACCAATTGAAAGTCTGCTTAACAGTGTTATCATCATGCTGAAAGAGTCTTACTAAGTTAGTTAGTTGTCACTGGTGGTACTGGTTGCACTTGGGTGAGTCTGATTCCTATTTTGGGCACCCCAGAGAATTTTAGCAATTTCAAACATCAACAGTAGGTTATTCAGCTACTATTGCTTATAAACAGAATTCACACATAATCAGTTACCATACTGTAAATAGAAAAGAAACAAGAAGAAAGGGAAGGCCTTAGAATGATTCAGAAGCCCTGAATTAGTTTTAAGACCCATTGGAACACATGATTTGCATACAAAAACTAATGTTGGTGCTAGTGTTCCCATCCTTGTCTGCCTGTTTGTCAGTCTTTCGAACAATCACCTATGTCATCTGCTTTCATGTGACCCCATTCTGGGCTTCTGAATCACTCCAAAGCTGCCCTCTTCTTGTTTCTTTTCTATATATATTGTGGTAACTGATTGAGTGACAGTTCTGTTTTGTTTTTATGCAATTGAAAGCTGAACTCATTAACAAGGACCCTTCACTTTTAAGCCCCTCTCCAAAACACATTTCTGTCATGTTGCCTATAGTGATGCTTGTTGAGTTGTATAGAAATCCTTTTTGTTGTTCCCTTTCCCAGACTAGGATGTATCTGTTTGTCCTTAATTGATGAGATCCTCAGGGCAGGAACTGCACCTTCTCATGTGCCTGAAAAGCACCTAGTACCTCTCAGGCAGAACTGCAAACAAATGGTACATAAAAATAGTAATAACTACTGTACATGATCTTTTAGCATTCACCAGCTGGTCAACAGATCATTCAAAACATATCATAGACAAGGAAAATTGAAAAAGACCAGGAAAGGGACTATCTAGCTAGGTTCTCTCACAGTGATGCCTGTCACGGTACCAGCTGAGCACTTAGGGTGAATGGCTAACTCTCATGATTCCAGCTACACATGTTCATGCATAGTAGTACTCTCAGATGGAATCAAACTGTATACAGCAAGAGGTACAAAAGCAAAACCATAGAAAGGAATTTAAAATGCTGCCCTAACTTGGGATCTTGGAGAAGAGCATGAACGTCTGATACTATTTCCTCCCACAGATTTGCTTCTGTGGCTATAGGTAAAGCAACTCCTTGGAAGCCAGTAGTCTTCTCTTCCAGGTCTTGCAGCAGCTGGCTATGGAACACTTCACATGTTGCAGGCTCAGACAGCAGTCGACCAGCCTAAGCTTCTCTCCTCCGCTTTCACAGCACTAAGCTCAACCACAAGAGCACATGGGGCCCAGGCCCAACCTGACCTTCTTGTAGCCTACGGGGCTGGGGGTGTTGCAAAGCCAGGCACAAGAAGAAGAAAGTAAAAGATGAGAGAAAGAGAAACAAGAGGCAGAAGAGGATGGGAGAGAGAAAGAAAATGGGCAGAAAAGAAAGGTTAGGAGACAAATGTGCTCGAGTACAGTGGAACAGAGCTGGGCCCCCCACATCATTACAAGGAGTGGGGGGCTTCTACAACAAAAAGAAGTTGTGGGGTCTTAGCCATTTCAGCACACTTTAAATTGAATTAACTTTGTTTATTCATACTGTTCACAGCTAGCAGCAGATACATTTCAAAATTGCTATGCTAATCACATTTTTTTCCACATTTCAAGGGGTCTTGTGTATTAATTTTTGTACCATCTGCACAATTTTTTTACTACCATGGGTCCCATTCTGCCATCTTTCCTTATGACACAAGTACACCAGATGAAGTGTGCAGATGTGAGTTGCTCCCATGACTGGCTGCCCTCAGGGCCATTACAGGACCAGTGGAAAAAGGAAGATGGCTTTACCGAGAGATAATTTAAGGTAGCCCAGTAGTTCTCAACCTGCAGCTGGAGGCCATTTGCAGCCCAATCAGCACACAGCAGCGACCCATGTGACAGCCTCAGGGCCATACAGGTAGTCTATATATTGTTTGGAGGCAGCCCACATAACACATAGAGAGCTGCATATGCGGCCCACAATGGTAAATACGTAGAGAAACGCTGATCTAGCCACAGGAGCAAATTTGTGGGAGGAAGGGAGAATCTGGAATCATTCAACTTTCCCCTGCTCCTCTAGATAGGGCCGTTTTACCCTGTGGTGCCGCTGTATAATTCATCAGGCAGTCAATGGGCCAACGCATGGTGTAAAGTACAACTCAGTGGAGTTAGAGTGACAGAAACAGGCCCTAAGTCATTTATAAAATGGCTATATGCCTGCACCTGTGACTAGACTGAATTATAAAAGCTCAAACTGAAATTTTCAGTTTATACACAGTAATAAGGATAATAATACTTAGTACTTGTACACGCTTTACATGCTCAAAGCACTGTGCAAACACCAATTAATTTATCTAGAGGCCAGCAGGAGAGGCCTGCTTTTATGTTACATGCCCTGAGCCAGACTGTGAATCCTTTATTTGCAGTGATGAGCAGTTAATTGCACGAACAGTCCCATTGACTCATCAGTAGGAGTAAAGGATTCATAAACTGGCTCCCTAATAGTTACTTTTCCTTTTACAACTGCCTACTCCTTTGCTCTTCCACTGAATGCTGGATTAGCACAAGTTAAATTTACTTGACCATTTACACCCATTTTCTGAGCAATTTATGCCTGACAAGTACTTTTATCATTACTTTGTGGACTATCCTATTCTACAGACATATGAAAGAAAGGTCCTAGCCAGGGAGTAGGGACCAGATCAAACTAATCCCTTTAATTTGATACACTGTCAGTATTTACTACCTGGATTTGTAAATGAGAGACTCCAAATGATAGCAGCCTGTCAGTATTTCTTCTAGCCCATTGTGTAAAGTATTCCAAGTACATTGAAATAATGATCAGAATGGCAAATGCAAAAAATAATAAAATATAAATACATGGTTTTCTAAATGACAAGTGTAAGTGACTAGTGATTTCCATAATCAAACTTCTGTTCATTGACCTCAGTGTTAGAATGCTGAAGAGAAATTGATTTCACTCTGTTTGCACAGACAATAAACAATGTTGTCAACTGTGAAAATATCCTCTGCCATAAATCAAGGACAGGTCTTTAAAAAGCCACAGAGGGGAATGCTAGAAAGATGACCTGGAATCTTTTTCAGGTGCAAAAACATTATTAAGCTTATCACAGCCCATCTCCTGCTGCAGGCAAGGCTAAACCTGTAAGGAGGATATTTGTCTTGATGACCAATCCCTTCCTGATGGCAGCTCTCACGAATGAGCTTCCCTCACACTCTCCTTTTCTTTTGCTCCAGTGGTGGGTGTTATAGATAGCATGTTCTGTTTACTAGAGGGTCACACACGTCATAGCTTGTGTAGGCTGAGTTTATGGCACACACCAAGGGCTCCTTCCATCCTTTCATTCCCTCCTTCCCCGACGAACTCCCTGTGTGTCCCCCTTTATTTCAGGGACTCCTTACAACTCCCCCCAGTCACTCCCCTGCCAGGAGTTCTGTGTGCCCTTCCATTTCCACTTCCCCCATGCTCTCCAGTCCCCCTTTTCATCCCATGGCAGGGGCTCTGCATACTAACTAATCTCCATACCAATTCTCCCCCCCCAAAGGTTCTGTGTGTTCCCCACTCCCTCCTCTTCCCATTTCAGAATCCAACATTCTCCTCCCCATGGATAGGGCTCTGTGTGCACCTCAGTCCACTTTGTCCCTTCATGTCCTTCCTTACCAGGGGCCCCCAATCTCCCCCATCACTAGGTGTTCTGTTTGTCTCCATTCCCCTCTCCACCAGTAGCAGGGTCCCCCATTCTTTTCCCATGCCAAGGGCTCGGTCTGAACCTTAATAACTCCTGTTCCCCGCATTTCCTCCTTTCCCCTGGTTTACCAGGGGCTCTGTATGTCCTTCTTCCCCCTCTACCAACCTGTCATCCACCAAAGGTTCTGTGCACCCCATTCTACCCTCCCTCCATATCAGGGTCCCCAATCTCTTCATGTCCCCTTTCTCCTCCATCCTTATTCTTCTTTCTGTCTGGGGGATATAAGCCATTCAGGATGTCAACATGCTAAAACTCCATTGGGAGGATAGGCAGAGGTGAGAGGCTGGAAGGTGTTAATGGGTGCCATCAATCAGTTCTTTGTCCTACAGAAAATTGCAGAGGTGCTTGAGGTTTGGCTGTGCTGAAGAGCTGGCAGGGGCTTCGTGTGTCCCCCATTTCCCACCTTTTGGTTTTCCAAGTTCCTCCCAAATCCACAGGGTTCTGGCTATTGT